CTTTTCTGTTGCCAATTCTGCCCTGTCTTGATTACGATAGCTTCATAGTAAGTCTTGAAATAGTGTAGTGTCAGTCCTCTTTGTTCTTCAGCATTGTGTTGACTTGTCTGGACCTTTTGCCTCTCCAGATAAACTCTAGAAGCAGTTTGTTGCCATCCAAAAAAATAACTTGATGGAATTTTAGTTGCTGTTTTGACAATGTCGTGCATTCTACCCATAAACATGGATTATCTCTTCATTAATTTAGTTCTTTGGTTTCTTGCATCAGAGTTTTATAGTTTTCTTCATATGAATCTTGTATATGTTTTGTTAATATTGTGTTTTGGAGATGTTGATGTAAATATTGTTTTATTTATTTATTATTTTGAGACAGGGTCTCACTGTATAGCCCAGGCTGGCCTCAAACTTAAGATTTTCCTGCTTCTTTCTTAGCCTCCTGAGTGCTGGGGTTGCAAACAGGTGCCACCATGCTGGGTTTGTTTTTAATTTGTTCATTGTTGGCACATAGGGAAGCAATTGACTTTTTCATATTAACCTTGAATCCTGAAACTTGTTATAATCAATTATTGGTTCCAGGAAAATTTTTTTTTATTAATTCCTTCAGATTTTTACAGAGATGATCAACTAATCTGCAAAGATAGCCTTATTTCCTCTCTTTCAATATGTGTACCTGTTTTTTCTTATTATATATTATATAATATAAGTTATATAAATTATTTATAATTTATGTAAATAATATAAATATTATTATATATTAATATATTATATATATTGCATATACCTCCAGTATAATGTTGACAAGTAGTAGTGAGAGACCTTGTTCCCAATCTCAGGGAATGCTTCTAGTTTCTTACTATTAAGTATGATGTGAGTTGTAGATTTTTTTGTAGGTGTTCTTTTTTAAGCTTAAAAAGTTCAGCTTATTTCTCAGTTGCAAATATTTTTTCATGAATGGATTTTGTCAAATGTTTTTTCTGCACCTATTGATAACACTGAGTGGTTTTCTTCTGTAGTCTATAGTCTGTTTGATTAAATACATTAATTTATTTTCAAATGTTCAATCAGCTTTGTATATCTAAGATAAATCCCATGTGGTAATAATTATTTTTATTCATTGTCAGATTCATTTTTTGTTTTGTTTTATTGAGGGATTGTGCATCTAAGTTCATGAGAGATATTGGTCTGTAGTTTTCCCTAATATCTTTGTCTTGTTTCGGTGTTTGGGTAATGGTGGCCTCAAAAAATGAATTAGGATTACTCCTTTGCCTCTATCTTCTGGAAAAGATTATAGAGAATAGGTATTTCTTCCTTTAATGTTTTGGAGATTTTACCAATAAATCAATTTGGGTCTAGTGTTTTCTGTTTGGAAGGGTTGTTTATTACTGAATCAATGTCTTTATCAGATGTAGAGCTATTCATGTTATCTTTTTCTTCCTGTGTGAGTTTTAGTAGATTGTGTTTTTCATTCTGTTATTCTTTTTCATTTCACATATTAAGAATTTGTGAGGGCTGGACCTGTAGTTCAGTGGTACAGCACTTGTCTAGCATGGACAAGGCTAGACAAGCCTTGTCTATCCCTAGCCTGACCAAAACAAACAAACAAACAAAGCCTAAATCTGAGTTCATTCTCTCTCTCAAACAAAAAGCCTGAATTTGTGATTTGTGTCATTCTCATTCTCTCTCTCTCTCTCTCCTCTCTTACCACTGTCTTTCCCATCTCTCTCCTTTATCTCTCCCCCTCCCCTTTCTCTCTCACTAGCTAGAGGCTCATTATTGCTATCAATCTTTTCAAAGAACCAGCTTTTTCTCTATTGATCTCACATTTTCAATTCAATTGATTTTGCTCTAATTTTTTATCATTTTTCTCTTTCTTACTTTGGATTAATTTTCTCTTTTTTTTCTAGGTTTCTGAAATAGAAGTTTAGATTACTGATTTTAAGGTCTTTTCTTTTCTAATATATGTATCCATTGCTATAAATTTCCCTTTAAGCATTGCTTTGGCTACATCCCACTAATTTTGATAAGCTTATGTTCAGCTTCAATCAATTCAAAAATTTAAAAATATCTTGTTTGTCCATGTGGTGTTTGGGATTTTCTAGCCATCTTTCTAGCTTAATTCTCTTGTGGTCTGAAATCAAATATCATATAATTTCTATTCTTTAAATGCTTTTTGAAAAAGTTAAAAAATCAAATATCTTTGCATAATAAAATCCAGTGACTTAGAGCTCATGCTCAGAATCAAGACTGCCCCAGTCTCTGCATTACAGACACTGTTTTCCTGGTTCTTCCCTCAGAACTTCAGTGTTTTCACAGAAGCCAGTAATCTTCCATTTTCCTTCATAGGGAAGTAATGGTTTGCACACAATACTCTGAAAGCTACATTCCCTCTCTCTTATACTTGAGTCGGTGGTTTAATGTGAGGATCAGTCTCTACCCACCCTTCACCCCTCATCCATCCAGCTGTTAGGATGGATTCCCAGGAAGGAGCCTTGGTGTTTCATAGTACAGCTGCTTGGGGATCTTGAAGAGGCGGGGATGTGGGAGAGGCACTGCTCTGCTACTCTAGAGGCAGGGCAGGCACTTTATTGACATTCCTACCTGCCATGGCTCGTCTGGGACCTTGCTGGAGAGCTGGAGTATGACCATCACTTCAAGTCACAGCCTCAGACTCATTCTGGGCATAGCCCAGCCCCAGCCCCCAGCCTCCCATCCATGCAGCAGTGCTGAGCCTCTCTCCTCTGCACAAGTCCTAGTGCAAAGCATGCTGGAGCTTAAGGATGGGTTTCTTCATAGCCACTGCTGTTCTTAGAGAACTACCTCTCAAGCTGCAGCTGGATCTGGTCACAACCATAGGCACCTACCTAATCCACTGGTCTGGCACAGGCCAGGCCATGAAGTCATATCTTCCTGTTTGTTTGTTTTTTGTTTGTTTTATAGTGCTGGAGTTTAAACTTCGTCTTACACTTGCTAGACAAGTGCTCTACCATTTAAGCCATACCCCCAGACCTTTTAGCTTTTAGTTATTTTTAAGAAAGAATCTTGCATTTTTGCCCAGGCTGGCTTCAGACTGTGATTCTCCTACCTATGCCTCCTGCATAGCTGAGATTACAGGCATGAGCCACCATGCCTGGCCCCTTCCTATTCATTTAAATTTCATATGCTGTCTTAAGATTCAAAGTGTGGTGTATCTGGCAAGTGTTCCACATAAGCTTGAAGCTAGGGCATATTTTGCTATTGTTTAATAAAGTAGTCAATAGATAAATATTATATCTAGTTGGTTGCTGTTACCAAGTTCAGCTATGCTCTTAATGATTTTCTGCCTGCTGAATGTGTTCCTTTCTGATAGAAGAGTATTAAAGTCTCCAATTCTAATAGCAGGATCATCTGTTTTTCAGTTTTTATCTTATATATTTTTGCATTCTCTTGTAAAAAGCAAACATGATAGGGATTATGTCTTTTTGTAGAATTGACCTGTTTATCATTATATAATTCTCCTCTTTTACTCTGATTACTGTCCTTATTCTGAAGTTTTCTGTGCCTGAAATTAATATACTGTGGTCTCCTCCCCTGCCTTTATCTACAGGAGATGTATGCCGAGAACCCCAGGGGATGCTGGAAACTGCAGATAATATCAAACATATGCTATGCTTTTCCTACACGTCCATATACCTATGATCAAATTTAACTTATAAATTAGATATAGCAAGAGATTAACAACAACTGATGATAAAATAAAATCATTGTAACAACATGCTATAATAAAATTGCCAGCATCCGAACTCTTTGCTCTGTGACACCATGTGCTATAGTTTGGATCTTAAATGTCTTTCAAAGGTCCATGTGTTAAAGGCGTGGTCCTCAGTTTGGTGCTGTTGGAAGGTAGTGGAAACCTTTAAGTGGTGGGACCTCTGAAGGCATCCCGTGTGTGTTTGTGTTCTATCTGGAGATAGAACACAAGGCCTTTTTTTTTTTTTAAATATGGAATGCTTCACGAATTTGTGTGTCATCCTTGCTCAGGGACCATGCTAATCTTCTCCATATCGTTCCAATTTTTTAGTATATGTGCTGCCGAAGCAAGCATGAACACAAGGCCTTTTGCATGCTAAACAAGAGCTCTACCACTGAGGTATATCTCAAGCCCCTCTAAAAGCATATTGATTGTAGTTTTAAATTTCCAGTTTGATAATTCCAACATCTGAACCATATCAGAGTCTAGTTCTGATACTCTATCTTTTAGCACATTTGTTAATTTTTTCTTGATGACCAGACATGATACACTTGGGAGTAAGAAAGTCTTGTGTGTAAGTATTCTAGTGAGCTTGTGCCTATGGACTATGACCTTCACAGTGCTTCTCAGTGCTCCCCTGGCCTTAGGTGGAATAGGATGGCTGGAGTGGACTGGAGTTGGGCATTTGTTTTCCCCTGGGTCAGTTTAGGATCTGATAAAACTCAGTTGCTCAAGCTCTGTAAAAATAGTTTCTCCTAAGGGTAGGCCTTGTTATGAAGAGTAGACTGCTCTGGCCTATTTCAAAATAGTTCCTTTTCCCCTCACCCTGCTGGAAGCGTGCAGAGATGGTCTTCCTGTAATTCCTGTGGAATGCATTGCATGCATGGAACCTGCAGCAGAGTAGCGGAATGGAACATGTGTACATAGGACCCATTTAGGCACAGAACTAAAATGAAACTTTTTTCAGAGAATTCAATTTAGCTCTTTTAGAGGCAGTATTCTGTTCCCCAAAAGGAAGTATAAATGTGATCTTTGTTTATTTGTATTTCATATATATAGAAAATGACTGGAAGGAAGCAGCTAGAAATGGTAGTTATCTACAGGTGGTTTAGATACTTTTAGTTCTGTGTGATGAGATGAATCATAATTTTTATTTTTCTATTTTAATTTTTTCTTCAGTTTCAAATTCTATCAAATGAACATATATCACAATTAAAAAAAGATAATGTTTAGACATGAGCGTTTGGATGTCTTCCTCTATGTTTTCTTACAGTCTGCAAAATGAATGTTCACCGTCGGTGTGAAACCAATGTGGCCCCCAACTGTGGAGTAGATGCCAGAGGAATTGCCAAGGTGTTGGCTGACCTGGGCGTCACTCCAGACAAAATCACCAACAGTGGCCAGAGGAGGAAAAAGGTAAGTGGCTATTTGATGTTGTGTCTGGAGCTCTTTCTGGACCAGAAAGCCAGCTTATGCTGGCTTCCTGAGGGTGCTCTGGAGTGAGGGTGAAATATTCCTGGGTTTGAAGCATTGTACTCAAAGTAGCATGTGCTTAAAGTAAAAAAGAAGCTAGGCAAGTGACAGTCCCCAAAGTGGGAGGAGGGGTAACAAAGAAAGTCCTAAGAGTTATGTTAGGGCTAGGTGTATAATTTACTGGTAGACTACTTATCAAGCATGTGTGAAGCTCTGGGTTCAATCCCCAGGACTGGGAGTTGGGGAGAGGAAGGAAAGAAAAGAAAGAAGTTTAGAAATATAAGCTTTGAGATGAGGACTTTGGAATTCCTTCTAGAAAAAGCATAACAACTCTAGACAAGGATGTAGACTTACCTGCCTACAGAACTGGCAGAGAAGCAATATCAGTATCTGAACTTGGCCTGTGGTGTCATGATAGGCTAAATGAAGTCTGGCTGGCACCATAGTTTTCCGTAAGTAGCCAGCCAGTTTGTCAGTACCAGCACAGAGCTACCCAGGGATTCCTGTTAACATCCCATTGCATGAAACATCTGGGCCTTTCTTTGGAGACCACAGACTTATCTCTAGCCATGTGACATTCTGGATGTCAGAAGCAGGAGTTCTGTATGCTGAAGTGGTTTTTTGGTGAGTCAGATGTAAATAGAGCCAAAGACATCCATAGCAGGCTCTTCCTTAGCAGTGACTCCTGGCCTAGAAAAGTCAGAAAAGAAGTCTTTGGAAAGTAAGTTACATCAGAACCAGAACCATGTTATCTGGACAAGAAATCCTGCTGCCAGTGTCAAACATTTCCAAGCACTTTACTAGAAAAGCACGTCTGGCCCTAGAGGGCCTCAGGGTTTTGACTCCTAAATGTTATCCCTAAATTTTGCCCTGAGATACCTTCTGAGGAGGCCTTCATTTCCTTGTCTTTCCCACCCATGGCTTTCCTCTGGCACCCCCAGAAGAGCTTCTTTCCATCTGATGGAAAGGGCTGGATTATTTTTATCTTCTTAAACATCTCCTTCTTCTCTCCATTCCCAAAAAACAAAGCTGTTTTGTAAGCAATTGCAGAAACAATCCTCTCCTCCCTGGTTAACTGTGAGATTTTGTGTATTGGTTGGCTCTTCTCAGTTCTGTAAATCCCCTGGTAGATAAGGGATCTCAGTTACTGATCCAAGGCACTAGAATTACGAGTGTCAGTACCCAAGAACATGACTGCCCTTTGAAGAGGTGGACTAAGCAGAAACTCTGGTGACAATGCTTACCACATTTCTGAGTTCCAGAGAGAGCCCTTGTTGGGAGGTGGAATTTTTCCCCTGCTAGAAGTAAAGTAAGACAGACTTTCTTTGTCATGAAACATTTCAAAGAAAACTCACTACCTTCCCTCTTTCCTAGATGTACAAGGGCTGGAATGTGGGGAATGAGACATTGCCTGCTTGTCTCACATCTGGGGAAACCTGGTGGGAAGAAGCCAACATGGAGAAATTGAGAAAGGACAAGAGTAAAGGCTGAGGGACTGGAGTCCTGATGCTGTTATTGCTATGATGCTCCTGATTCAAAAGCTAGGAAAAACCCATAGTAGCGAAGTTATGTGATGAATGGGGGAGAAGTGACCTTGATCAGAAGCTTAAAGGTCATCTTTGTGGAAACATGGGGCCTGCTAGAGCTCTGGTTACCCTCATTTTGCCAGAAAGGACATGTGCGCACAGTGGATAGACAAGGAAAGGAGAAAGAACTCTTGTGATCGCAGTCTAAACTGCTGACCTCAATGACGACTTAAAGTAGATATGCCAGCACTATGCCAGGAAGCAGATTTCCCTGGAAGTGTTTCACTAAAACTTGCCAACAGACACAAATGTATCTGAAATATTTATTGAGGATCTATCATGTATTATTCTGTGCCAGTCATTAGGAAACAAATGTACTGGGTAGAGTCTTACCTTCAAAGAACCCATAGCCTGCCTGAGTAGAGAACTCCATACTGTATACACATACAGATGTTATTAGCCATATAAAGCTGAATAAGATAATGAATAAATGCCAAAATAAATGCCAGCATAAGAATGCTTTGGTGAGAGAACTTGCATTGCTTGGACAAGCAGAGGGGGATTTTATTGAAGATGTAGGACTGAGTTTTTCTTAGAAAGGTCAGTTGTATTTGGAAAGAATAAAAATTGAACCAGCTGAACTGTCTCATTTTCTTCCCTTTAATTGGCGAATGAAATCTTGAGTCTGCTCTCAGAACATCAACTTGGCAGGTGTTACTGTGCACCAGAGCCTCTTACAGCTCTTAGGACAGTGTCTTGATGCTCTTGGCCTCAGGGAAACATACAACCTCCTTTCTAATGCCTTTCTCTCTTCTTCCTGTTCTTCTCTCTAGCTTGTTGCTGGAGCTGAATCCCCGCAGCCAACTTCTGGAAACTCCCCATCTGAGGAAGATCGATCCAAGTCAGCACCCACCTCCCCTTGTGACCAGGGTGAGACCCTCAGATTTGTTTTCTCAACCCTGAGTTCTGTCATTGGAAGGACCAAGGAGCATAAGGCCCAGAGTGGCCTTGTTAGCTAAAACAGCTCACAGCCCTGAAGGTCCTCCCACACCTTTTCCCTGTTAGGGTAGTGGTGGTTTTTCACCCTGTAAGGTCTTGAGGGTGGAGCAGTACATGGCTGTACTTGCCTTCAATTCATTCCAGGCCAGGGTAAGAGAAAAGCAGCACAGCTGTAATGTTAATCGTTTATTATTTTCCCTTCCTCTTTCTCTGGTTCCAAGTGTAGGTAGGGAGAAGATTCCAGCTCCTTTTCTCACCACTGTGCCTGGGTGTCTGGCCCTAGACCTGTCAGTGTACTCACTTAAGTTGAGTTGGACACACTATTTCTTGGCTCTAATCATCAAACCCAAAAAACTCGTATCAGGTTGAGTTGAGAGATGGGTTTTGGAGGACATCTATCATGGTATTGGGTGGGTGAACATACAAAGATGAAGTTGAAGAGGAGTCTGAGAGAAGTGGGGAGGAGCCAGCTTAAGGGGCGACTTCCCTCTTTGTCCCTGCTCCAGATATCACCTTTCTTTCTGTATAAATATGTATTGAAATAGTAAGTTCTGTAGGCATAAGAGGCATAAGAATAACTTTGGAGGCAAACAGAAAATGCTGGGTCTGAGCATAGACTCACATAACTGAATCCAACCCCTCTGTTGACAAGTCCCAAATATCCCTGGGAAGGGACTATGCACCTGCAAAGCAGGAATGATCCTCACAGCACAACAATGGTGTTGGGATCTTCCACAGCTCCGATTGCATTCATATTCCTAATTTATATTCACAACAATTCTATACTGGTGTCCCATTGCTGCCTCCAGGTTACAGGGTAAGAAGTGAATGGTCAAAGAGTTGGAAAGGTTTGTCCCAAGGTCAAGAACTAAGTTGGTGGTAAGGACAGTCCTGTGCTTCTCCTGGGCCATGAAACCCTCCCTGGAGGTCATCACTTGTGACCCAGCCCTTCTTACCCAGGAGTAAGTAAAACAGCTTCAGGGGCCAGGAGCCAATCCTCAGGCCACAAAATGATTGGTCTCAGTTCCTCTTCCTGTTTCTCCAATTTGCTTTCAGTGTCCTCATTCCAAAAGACATTTGACCCATTCATAAGTCATTGACTGATGGTATTCTGAGATCCCCAAACTTGTAGGATTATCCTGGACCAGAGTGGGCATTTACTGTTTCCTTCTTAATGCTGTTATCCTTTTGGAGCTTGGAAGACACCCCAAGTAAAGTGAAATGCCCATGGTTTTCAGCCATGGCACCTGCCTGTGCCTCCCAGGGCTTCTGTTTAGACAGAGATAGCAGTCAATGTAGATTTTGTTTCCTAGCATGGTGGGAGCACTCATGGACAGGAAAGTCTTCATAGGAAGATGTAACATTATTATAAACCAGAAACAAGCCAGTTTCTCTTTCCTCTATCATAAGAACACAGAAAGACATTTTCTTCAAACTCTGGTTTGAAGTTCTGCCTTCCAAAATCCATTTAATAACTGAAACTTTTAGTTCTATGGTGAGACTAAAAGTCATACTTAGTTAAGAGTGAGGTAACTACTAAATTGGAGATTCAAAATCTGTCTCCACCTCTTCTCACCCCACCACTCCAACCCAAACCCATCTCAGAGGAGCTCACTCCAGACTTAAGAATCTTTACAGATTTCCTGATGGACTTTAGTGGTCTTATTCCTTCTAGAAAGAAACTGAAGATCTTTCTGTCAAGAGGTACCAGGTGCTCATCCCCAATTGTGATTCCCAGGGATAAATAGTCTGTTTCCCTTCTGTAACTCCAGTTATTCAAGAGCATCTTTTAAAGTCATGTTATGCTCAAGATACCCATTTCTACACACGA